ACGTTCCCAGCGGGAATGGAAAATGGTGCAGCCGCTTTGGAAAACACTGTGGCAGCTCCTCAAAAAGTTAAAGCGAGTTACCACAGGACCCAGAGATTCCACTGGTAATTATATATCCGAGAGAAATGGAAATGTGCCCATGGTGTATGCAAATGTTCACAGCAGCACCATCGATAACAGAAAGTGGACACAACCCAGATGTCCATCACCCGATGAACGGATGAGCCTTACGTGGCATGTCCACACAGCGGACTATTACTGGGCCCTGAGGAGGCAGGGAGGCCTGGTACCCGGATGAGCCCTGACAACATGTGCTGAGGGAAGCGGTCAGCAGAGTCCAGAGTATGCACACCCACAGACAGGGGTGGGCTAGGGGCTGGGGTGCGGGAGCGGGATGCGGATTAACTGCTTATTGGGCAGAGGGTTTCTCTTTGGAGTAGTGAGATGTTCTGGAAATACAAGAGGGACGCACAGCCCTGTGGACCTACTAAGACCCCCTGGCTCGGGCACTTCTGAACGGGTGGGCTGTATGGAGCCAGCTGTCACGCAGGGCCGGGCGCGCCACTACCTTGTCTGCCAGCCGCCCCTGCAGTTCATCCCTCTCCCGGGAGCGGAGCTGTTGCTCCTGGCTCAGCGCCGCCTCCTTCTCCCGCACCAGGCTCTGGGCCGCCTGCAGGTCGGCCTCCCGCTGCCGCACGGTGCTGCCCAGCGCGTCCTTCTCTGCACTCAGCAAGTCCAGCCGCGAGCTCAGCTCTGAGCCGCTCTGTGAATGCCGGGGCGTGAACAGGGTGTCCAGAGCCCGCCTGCATGCCCCTCATTGCCCCCCAAGTTTACAGACTATTCCTTAGGGCCTTAGGGGGTGTCTTCATCACCCCCACCCCCAAGACTGAGCTGCCCGTTTCCTGTGTGTCTCCTAGGTGCTGGGTCAGAGCAGCACTCCAGGACGGCCGAGCGCCCCTCTGAAGCAACCCAGCAGCATCTAGGCGTGGCTCGGCTCTTGGGACAGAGGACCCTAACGTGTCCCGCCCGACCCCAGGCCACCCCCGTCAGCAGCCCCACACACACCTGCTCCGTGCGGCTCAGGGCCTCCTGCACACGGACCAGCTCCCCGGCCTTGGACTCCAGCTCCCTCCTGAGCTTCTCTAGCTGGTCACTCTGCTCCTCTAGCTGGGACAGGACGGACAGTGTGTCACAAGGACAACGTGTCATGGGGACAGCGGGGCTGCAGGGACCCGAGCTGGGGCTCTGTGCACACGAGAGACGCACCTTCATCTCGGACTCCCGCTTCACCTGCTCCATCTGGAAAGCCAGCTGCTCCTTGACCCGCGTCACCTCCTCCTGGCTCTGCTGCTTTGCCGTCAGCTGCTTGGCTGTGTCTGCATTCTGCAAAGGCGAGTGGGGACGTGCTCATGCTCTGCCACCGCCGGGCGCTGTCCCCTCTCCTCCCAGCACGGCCTCCCAAGGGCTGGGCCTACCTTCCTGAGCAGCTCGGCGTGCGTGGCCACGAGCTTGTTGTGCTGCTCCTTCAGCTTGGTGTAGCGCGCCTCTGTGGCAGTGGCTTTCTCTGCGAGAGAGAGGAGGCCGTGACCCCAAGCATAGCACAGCGCCCCCAACTCACCCACCGGGACCAGGCCCCCGCCACGCACTCTCAGCCTCCTCACGCAGGCCCTGGTTCCGCTCGCCCTCCAGCTGGNTTGAGGCGACAGGCCAGGCCGCTCACGGACCCTCACCTTGGAAGCGGCCACCAGCTGGGCTGTGCTGGCCGCGATCTCGTGGGAGCAGACGATGAGCTCCTCGTACTTGCCGGTGTGAAGCACCACCTTGTCAGCCGACTCCCTGCGGGCAGAGACGGGCAGGGCCTGGGTCTCCGGCCCCATGGACAGCCAGCCGGGCCACCCCCACACTCCCTCCCCAGATCCTGAGCACCACACTCCCTGCTGCCCCCCCACCTGGGGCGACATACACCAGCTGCGTGGCTCCCCAGCCCACGGCTTTGGAGGCTGAGATGAGGCCTTCTGTCCACCGGGAGTTCTTGGCGTAGAATTCCTGCTGCGTGGCTGCCCCCTAGTGGCGACGAGAGGAAAGAACAGGTGGCCCAGTCAATGACATCACAGGTGGCCATGGACGCTTAGGGGGCCCTTGTTCCCTCCTGCCAGCCACAAGGCCGCATCCCTGGGCCGTGGGGCGATTCTGCTGTGAGTCGCAGGCACATGGTGAACGGGGAGCCTGTCATCACTGCGCACGTCTCAAGCCCAAAGGAGGCCTGGGGTTGGCTTAAGCCACAGGGTGACGTGCTTTGGGACGGAGAGGGCCTGCGGTCATGCCCTCTTCAGGACTCTGCTCCTTGCTGGCCCAGGTGTGTGGCCGGGCTCCCCACCTGGAGGCCCAGCTCACCCTGCCACTCTCCACGATCTCCTTCTGCAGGCTGGTGGACGTCATCACCAGGAGCCGGATGGCCTGCCAAGACCAAGACACATGTCACTCTTGGGCTGGCCCTCCCAGCACCAGAGTGCACCCCTGGGGTCCTAGCTGGCTGCTCACCTTCATCAGGTCTGTACAGGAGTTGAGGATCCTGTGGGAGGTGGGGGAAAAGAGAGACGGGTCGGCAGTGTGACCCCGGATGCCACAGGGGCTGTCAGGGGGGCGACCTGACCTCTGGCCTCTGCACGGACAACCTTGGGGCCTGACACCAGGTGCTCAGCATGTGGGCCCACATGGCGGGGCAGGGGGCACTGCCTGTTCCCTGTCCTTTCTGGAGAGCTAAGTGGTCAGGGGGGCAGACCCCTGGGGATCTGGGAGACCGTGGGGAGCCCACCTCACCCTGGGGACAGAAGTGACCTCACCTCTCATTCACCTCCAGTTTCACCCCAGAGCTGGCGTGACGGGCCTGGTTCATCATGTCCTGTACCAATGACAGAATCATGAACAAGCTGGGAGGAGGGAAGGGACACAGGGCTGGCCCCGGGCCCCGGGGGCAGCCACGGAGCCGGGAAGGGGAGGGCTCAGCTCAGGGTGGGGACCAGGGCCCCCTCCCACCCTGACCTGCACAGGCGAGGCCGGGGCTGAGGTGGGTGCAGCCTGCACTCAGCCCACCCAGCCCCCAGGGCACTGGAGGGGCCCCTGCGCCCCAGCCGTCCCTTACCTCGATCCTCCGCACAGCGTCCTCAATGGCTGCAGATGTGGCCGCCATCTCCTTGTCCACCATGGCCCCAAGCTCCTCTTGACGCACATCCAGGCTCTTGGGCTTCAGCTCCTGGAGGAGGAGGGCGTCCAGGGGTCAGACGGGGTGTCTTCAACCCCCAACAACCCCACTGGGAGCCTGGGAAAGAGGCTGGGGCAGCAGGGCTCTGGGGACCGGTGGTGGGTGCNCAGCCGTTCTAGGTCTGATCTGGGGGCCGGTTGGGGTTTGTACACAGGAAAAAAGTCAGGGCCTGCCGTTCAGGTGTGTGTGCTCAGTAAGGTATCCCTCCGATACAGAGGGAATCGAAAGGGAAATGGGGGGACCCTGGGGGAGCTTGTTGTTGGGAAGGGCTCGGGGCACTGACGTCAGGCGGGGCTGGACGGCCGTCTCCTCAGTGTGCCCCTGCTTCTTCCAGATAAACAGTCCAGCAATGCCTCCTTGGAGACCCTGTTAGCCCTTCTTCAGGCAGAAGGAGCCAAGATTGAGGAAGACACCGAGGTAAGGCCCGCCAGCGTCCCTGGGGTCAGAAAGGGGCACCTCCAGGTGTGCAGGCTGCACGTGGGCCCGAGGTCTGGGGAGAGCAGCAGGGGCCTGGTCCTCAGGTGAGGGGTGCTCGCACTGTGCACGGGTGCCGGCGATGAGTTACCACCTGCCCTGGGTCAGCTGGCGGGGCAGAGCCCGTGGGACACGGCCAGCCGAGCACTCGAGGCCTGAGTCTCACCAGGCGTTAAGGACATGAGTCAGGGTCAGCAGTCGCAGCAAGTCGGGGCCGGCAGCGGGTGACCCGATGTGATGACGCAGCCTAATGAGTGGTCCGGCCTGAGTGGGGGCCCTGCTGACCCCGTGGGTCAGGATGCAGCCAGGATCCAACTGGCGTAAGGGGAGGGTCGGAACTGGGTGCAGTATTTCCCTCTTCAGGCCACCCAGGGGCCCCCATCTTCCTGAGGGGCCCCTTCATCCTCAGGCTGGCTCTCAGGGGCCTGCTGCCCATCCGGCTTGCCGTTTGGGAGGGCGGGGCACACTGGACCAGCCCGCCTCTCTTCCGGGTCACTCTGCGGGTGGGGGCTCCCACTAGGTCAGCTAGGGTCTGCAGTGGGAGCCAGTGACTGGAGGAGGGACGAAGTTGGAGGGAAGCTGGATAGTAACTTCCCTCCCTCACAGCTGACCTGCCCCTTTAACGGCGTTCCTCCGCTTCTTTCAGAACATGGCGGAGAAGTTTCTCGAGGGAGCGCTCCCACTGGACTCCTTCATTGACGTCTATCAGAGCCAGCGGACACTGGCCCACAGGCGAAGGGTCAAGATCGAGAAGCTCCAGGAGATGGTGCTGAAGGGGCAGACACTGCCGCAGGCCCCGGCCCCGCTGCCGCCCAGGGTGTCCGAGCCGGCGCCCACTGCCCCCCTGCCCTACGCCGCCCCGGAGGCCAGCGGGCCCCCCTCGGTCTTGCCTCGGCGCATCCCGCCCCCCGTGCCTGCAGGACGCTTGGCCACGCCGTTTACCGCCGCCATGGGCTCAGGACAGGCCTCTCCGTTCCTGGGACCACCGTGCCCTCCCCTGCCCCCCCGCATAGGCNCCAAGCCAGTTCTTAACCATCGCGCCACTCGGCCGGCCCCAGTGTGTCCCTTTTTATGGCTGAGGAGTCCTGTTGACATTCACCTGCTGAAGGACGCCGGGTTTCTGGCCGTTGTTACGAATGAGGCCGTTCGGAACACTGGTGGATGGGTTTTGGTGTGAATGTAGTTTCGTTTCTGTGGGATGAGTGCCCAGGAGCACAGGTTCTGGGTCGTGTGGCAGTTGCATGTTTAGTGTTAAAAGAAGTGGTCAAGCTGTCTTTCCAAAGCCGCTGTGTGTACAGAGTTCATTTTTGTTTGTTCTTTGAAATGGTTTAGCAATGGAAAGACTCTTCTGCAGGACCTGGGGACACGGCGAGCGTGGTGGGCCAGCTGCTGTGGGGAATGGGGGAGAGGGCACCCCTCCCAGGGCCCCCCGAAACCCTGCAGAGCCAGGAGGCCCATTTACAAGGTCTTTCCAGCCCCAGCCCCCATCCTCTTTGCTTGCAGCAGCAGGAGACAAGGACATTCCCAGCGCACTCATTTCATGGTGTTCAGCTCGAGGCTTCATTTCTCTCTCAATTTAAGCCATTGATCTAAATTCTGGTTGAAGCTGCATGTCCTCTTTAGGGTCCTGAGCCCGTTTCACCTGTGTGGGAGACGGAGTGTCTGCTGAGGAGGACCCCCCCAGCCCCCCGCTTGATGGCGGGGCTCCTGCTGCGGGTGCTGCTCCAAGGGCCTCGTCTTGGGCCTCTCACTTCAGCAGTCCTGCGTGCGTGTGAGCGCTCGTGCACGCGTGTGCTGGGTGCTGTGCACGAGCCTCCAGTGGGCTGGCTGGTGGGGGAGGGGTACGGCACAGCCAGGAATCCATCCTCTATCAAGAGGAAGGAAGTAGCAGCGAAAATAGACTGGGTGGGGTGCTAGACAATATTAAGGGGAGCACGGGATGACTGGCACGGGGTTGAAGAAAAGACACTAAGAGAAACACAGGCAAATAGTGGGGGATCATGTGCTGCTGAAGTTCAAACCCAGAAAGTGAGGCTGCTGTGGGCAGGCTGGCGCAGGCAGCCGTCGGCAGTGGGTGAAAAGGGAACTGGCACAGATGGGTCGGTGCGTGTGTGTTTGCGTTTTTATTCAGACACACTCCTGGCTAAGTCTACTAGGTGTCCCTGACCTTTTCCTTGGACCTTCCATTCCCCCCCCTCCCCTGAGGCCCAGGCAGATGGACTTTTCTACCTCCCGAATGACCTGTCGCCGCTGGGAAGACAGAATGAAACCGCTGTGGGGCAGATAAGCCCGTCCCCCCAGCTTAGGGTCAGCCCCACGGACGGACGGCCAGAGGCTGGGTGGCAGGAGCTGGGAGGCGGTGGCGGGCGTGGGAGACAGGGGAACAGGCCCCGTGTGAATGGGCTGCATCCCCGCTCTCCCTAGCTTTGGTGTTTGATCTCAAAGCCTGACTGTTAAGCCTGAGTTGACATCATGCCAACTGGTCCTCCTCCGATACCAGTGATTCTTTAACTTTCCCTTCAGCAAGTCGCTCTGAAAAAACCTAGCCATGTGTCCCTGGGAGCACAGTGGCCGCAGGAAGGAATTCTAGTCACAGTGCAGCTATTGAAGCGAACCAGTCCCAGGACAAAGCCCGCCCTGCAAACTGGGTGCAGAGGAAGTGGCTTTGCTCTTTAAGAACGGGCAGCAGCGCCCAAACTAGGAATCAGGGGCCCGAGTCGGCTGGGAGGCCCAGCTTGCTGGGAGCAGACAGGAGGCTCCCGGGGGTCGGGCTCCTCTGGGGACGTGCCCGGGAGCGAACACACGGGGTTCTCATCATCCTCTGTGTTCCTTACAGACGCAGAATGTTCAGCTCAACAAAGAGATGACGCTCGCTAGCAACCGGAGCCTGGCAGAGGGAAACCTCCTGTACCAGCCCCAGCTGGACGCCCTGAAAGCACGGCTGACCCAAAAATACCAGGAACTCCAGGTGCTCTTTGAAGCCTATCAGATAAAGAAGACCAAATTAGGTAAGTGTTTTAGGGCCTTCTTTCAAGACTAAAGCGTTGAGGGAAAAACACATTTTCAAGCTGTTGCGTCCCAGGAAAGAGTTACTCTTCTGGAAAAATGACAGAGTAAGACACTGATTGCTGCCATGAAGAAATGGTTCATATAGAGAATTGTCACCAGTTTAGAAGAGAGATTAATCGCTTTTTAAATAAAAGTCCACCTTCTCCAAACAGGATAGAAAAAAGGCAATTTTCTGAATCGTGATTTTCAGCAAATGTTTTATCCTATGCAGTTAGGCCCCAGAGTTAAGGCTGAAAAGTATTCATCACTGGGACGTCTTATTTTAACGTCACACTTTAATTTGCAGCCGTTATGAAGAGGAGGAGGAATTGAGTATTGTGGAGTCCTGGGTGCTTTGGGTAGCTTTCAGGGAGACTTAGATTCAGAGGCTAAAAGTCACCCCCTCCAGTGAGGCCCACGGTGCCCTCTGACACCGTAATCCCCTTATTGTCTCCATGAGTTCAGTGACAATGTACTAGAACACATCCCACCAGAGTGACAGAAAGTATAAGACCTGGCAGTGCCACGTGCTGGCGAGGCTGTGGTGTGTAAACTGGCAGAGCCGCCTTGGAACGCTGTGTGGCAGCACCTACTGAAATATGCACGCTCTGTGATCTGGCCGCTCCTCCCCTGGGTCTGTCCCCGACAGAAGGGACATCTGTGCCATGTGTCGTAGCTTCATTTGTGATAGCTAAACTCGGAAACACTCTAAATGTCCACTGCGGGGTGGTGGGTCAGTTGTGGTGTTTACACAGTGGACTGCTATGCAGCAGTGACANGGGCCCACCCAGGGACCCAGGGTCCTCAAAGGGTCAGAGCCCAGAATGGACAGACGGGCACCTCGGGCAGTCGGGGTATCTGGATAAGCCGCTTGAAGTAGAGCATGTCCGAGGCTCTGCGGAAGAAGTTCCTGAGGCTGCGGGGACAGGGGCAGGGGTCACAGGGGAGCCAGGTTCCTCCGAGCAGCCCCAGCCCCCTGGCCATGCTGCAGCCCTGTCCCGCCGGTACCTGTGAAACTGCTCGTGGAACCGGTCCCTGTGCCCCTGCAGGGTGTCAGCCGGGAGACCTAGGGGCGGCACACGTTTAAGGGACTTCCTCTCTGCTCACTGCTCTGCGGCTACGAAGCCTTCACATCCCCTCCCCTCCACTCCCCTCCCCTACTCCTCCACATTCTAGAAACTGTCACAGATTAGAGAGAGCACCACCATCCAGCTGGGACCCTGCCATGGGGGGTTCTGAGTGAGGGAAGGCACAGTGAGTGGAAGGGGGATATCCCACGACCATGGCACACCCACTGGGGCCCGGCTTTGGGGTGCACTGTAGAGTCACTTTAGACTCGAGTTCTCTCTGGGCTAATACTATCCCAATAGCTCGTATGCCCTCAGCCAGCGGTTCTCAAAGTGGGGCCTGTGGGGACGAGGCCCTTTCTGAACACGTCAGAGGTGATGTGCCTTCTCACACTGGTCCCCCCCAGTGCGCGTGATGTGAGACACCGCACCAGACTGGACGCAGAGGCAGAGAGGGGGCCCCCCTCCACGGCCAGGCCTTCAGGAGAACGGCAAACACGTAACACTAGGCCTCTCTTCTCGCTAAGCCTTTGTTCTGGAAAACCGTGACTTTTCATAGCGAGTATGCTATTTACATTAACGGGTAGTGGGCTTCTCACTGCTGCTTTTAGATAACCTCTACTTTCATTTATGATACGGTACACGCGGGTCGGTAGACGCCTCATACACACAGCTCTATGGGGGCTTCAACTGGACCTCAGGGGGCCCGCAGACTCACAGGCGTGCAGCTTGAACATGAGCTTGACCGTGTAGTGGTAGAGGTGGCTGCAGTCCTGGATGACCTGGATGAGGGGGGCCAGGCGGCACTGGCCAGAGGACATCTGGGATACAGCGATGGCTGTGTTGAGCTGCCGGAAAACTGCACCCAAGCAGGGCAGGAAGAGGGATGTGAGCCTGGGGAGCCAGAGACGTAGGCTCCACGCACAGGGCTGGTTCTGCTGACAGCCTGGTGCCAACAGCAGCCCACTGCAGGCCCCGGGTCATGTCTCATGACATCATCTCACAGCTGCCCTGGCAGGAGGTTTGAAGATGGGGTGACCGCCTGGGCAGCCTGCTGCACCACTCCCAGCCAGGCAGTGGCGCTCTACTCCGAGTCCCTGGACACCAGCGTGCTCCGAACTCCTAGCATGGGAGCCCCACATGCTGTGGCTGCCCCAGTCCGAGGCCCAGTGCTCCCTTGAACCAGGGTGACAGCAACATCAGGCAAACAAAATCCTGCTCAGCTTGGCCCAAGAGGCTCCACACGGTGGGCCCGGGTCAAGTAGCTGCACAACAGGGTCCAGAGAGTCAGGACTCAGCTCTGCAACCCCAAGTGACCCCAAAACCTCACTTGCACCCAGGGTCAATCGCCCCTGCCTTCCCCTAACAATTAAGCCTTTCATCCGATCGACCAAGTAGGAGGGAAAGGGACAAACATGAGGCTGCCTCCCCCGCCGGCCTCCTCTGTGGGCAGAGAAAGATGACAACGGGCAGGCGGGATGCCAGAACCGGAGAGCCGCCAGGGTGCCCACACAGAAAGAGATGCCAAGACACTGTTCCAGAATGGCAGGCCCCAAGCTCTGGGGTCCCCTCACCTTGCCTGGGGTCTCCATGGTAACACGAGAACGCCCAGGAGCAGAGCTCAGGACTCTCTCTCACCTTTTTGAAACTTAACTTTTAATTACATGTCGGGTCAAGTACATTTGCCTTGTAAAAGATTAAGATACCCATGAAGTCTGGGTTTTTTCAAGACATAGCCCGTTTCTCCACTGAGGGGCGCTCAGGACATTCCGGTCTTTGGCTGTTACAAACCGGGAGGCGAGGAACAACCGCTCAGTAGGGTGACGCTGGCACAGGGGACGGCCGCTGTGCCTCTCCTTTGTGCTTCATTAAGACATCAGTGTCGCCAGGGCCGGAGCACCCACCTGTGGGATTTCTCCACCTTCCCTCGTGGGGACCTCTGCCCTGACCACACTCGGGCCTCACCCAGGCTGAGAGCAGCACACGGGGACCGTAGACTCAGCTCCCGCCTGGCACATCTCTGCCAGGGCACAGGCTGGCAGCTTTCTGCCACTGCCTGGCTGGGTCCTGGGCAGGTCTTCCCAAGCTGCCCATTGGACGGCCCAGCCTCAAGAGAGCAGACCCAGGAATGCCAGGAGGCTGCCCAGAACCACCTCTAACTCCTGATTTTCCCTTAAAAAGGCATTTTCTTCTCACTCTCCCATGAAAAACATGAGTCACCCACAAGTTATTCTGAAGCTATCACCCAAACAATCACCTCTGTAGTCCCAGGAGAGGGAGCCCTAAGATTTCCTGCCCAACAGCAGCCCCGCTGCCTGGGCTGGGAAGTCCACCATGATTCAGAGGCCTTTCACAGCAGGAAACAGGCAAGATGACCTATACTAATGCTCTCCCAGTGGCCTGGGTCAGGACCCTGAAGAGGCAGCTCCTGGTGACCCAGGCAGCTGCTGGTGGCCCAGCCACCCCCTGCCCTTCCTGCCTTGGGGCAGGAGGCATGGTTTCACTTGGTGGAAGAAACAGCAGAGACCATACCCGCCAGGGGCCTGGCATCGTCTCCACCATGCTTTGGGGGGCACCTTGGAGGCCCCCTTACCTACTCCTGGCAGGGGCGTGGACCCTGGGCGTCCGTTACATTGAGGAATGTCAGTTAGCCTAGCTGACAGAGGCAGCAGCAGGTCCCACCCTCGGCCCTGGGAGGGATGCTCAGACCCCACCTGGGGCAGCTCACCTGATTCGGAAAGCTTCAGCTCGCAGTCCATATAATCGAACATCTCCACGGTGAGCTGGAAGCTACGATGGGAAGGGGGAGAGGAGGCTGAGCGGGAGTCAGGGTGGGCACAGCCCTGCGAGACCCCCCCAGGTGGGAGGAGGGAGCACAGGTCATCAGCACACCTCTGCACAGGACAACAGTCCTGCCGCCAAAAATGCCTGATTCCAAACAAACTCCATCCCTTTAACTTTAGCCTCATCTCCTGGCAACGTGACCGTCAGCCCCAGAAGCCACCGCATGTGGCCACCTCGGTGTGGAAACTTTAGGAGCAAACAGGGAGACTAAGGGAGGAGGCGGGAGAGCGTGCCAGGCCACCCCACCGTCCTGAGGGACTCACATGTTGTTGACGTCAGTTCCAGCTGCCTTCTCCAACACCTCGTCTGTCACCTCTAGGCCCGCAGGAAACTGGGGGTGCTGCAGAGAGGACACCCCTCCTCAACTGCAGCCCACGTTGGCTCTGGTCCAAAACCAGTTCTAGCTTTTGGGGGAGGGGAAGCCCCCAGCCTGTGGAGCCTCCATCTGCCCTGGGTACCAGCTGAGGGGGTGCTGTGAGCGGCCGGAAACCAAGGAGTGAGGACAGGACGACCAGCCAGGGTGGAGAGGCTGCCTGGAGCCAAGGGTAAGGCCAAGACCAGCTCCAGTATCTGCCAGAAATGCCTCAAGGTGCGCGGACTTTCATGACGTCCTGGCAGTTCTCGTATCCCCTGGGGTCAAGGCCGGGCAGGGCAGAACCCAGGATCCCACCCGCCCCACGACCCTCCCGAGGAGGCTACCTTGAGGTGGAAGGAGATCTTGGTCAGCAAGAGTTTGGTATAAACATTCACCAGCTGTCCATACCGGTCGTGCAAATGCGCCTGCGGAGGAAGGAGGGGTCAGGGTCTGCTGTCCTGTGAGCGTGCCCGAGGATCCCACCGGACCTGGCTAGCTGCAGGGCACACCAGGAAGCTGAGGTGGGCAGACGCAAGGTGACATTCCTTCACCCACCTACCCGATCACTTAGTCACTCAACAAACATTGTTCCACCTGCCAGAGGCGGCTGTCCTTCCTTCCCGAAGGCTTCCACCAACCCCCTTTGTCTACAGCGCTCTCTCTCTGTCTCTCTCTGTGTCTGTCTGTCTCTGTCTCTTTTCTTTATCTTACTGCTTGTCAGTCCTGCCAAAGAAACTCTTGTGACATGAGAGCTCTTCGTCCAGGGCAACAGGCCTGGGTTGGGACACTTTATTAAAATGCTGGCAGCGGCCAGGGAGGCACTTTCTAAGTCGCGTGTACACATCCTCCCAGGTGCCTCCTGCGTCACCTCCAAACACCGCATGCCTGTGGCCATGCCAGCTGGGCCTGAGTCTGCCCATGACACCCTGGGTGTCGTTTTCCTTACTTCGGGGGCATCCGCAAAACACAGCAGCTCTGGGTCTCGCGCCGCCCCGGCTCCGAGGGGCCATCCTGCCCCCGGCCCAGCGGGGCCCCAGCTGTACTCCCAGAGGATAAATAAGGCCAGAGCCCCACTTCCCCAACAGGGGCCGCCCCAATTCCTGAGGGTGTGGGAGCGCGTCTAGAATATAAGCGCCTGGGCTCTGAAACATTACCGTGGATGCAAATTTTCAGGGAAGCTTGCTGAAAACACACATTTCCAACCCCAAGATTCTAAAGAAGCTGGTCTGGGAAGCCAGGAGTCGTCCCCCCCGACAGGCTCTCACGGCCACTGTGAGATGCCCAGGCTTGGGTATTGCCACATTTCCCAGCTCACGGGACCAAAGGGCTGGGATTTCTATAGCTGGAGGGCCCTTTGGTTAAGTGTCTGAAGCTTCCTGTTACCAGGCCTTATGAAGCAAGACCTGCACCTCCATTTATGACGCTCACCTCCCTGCACCGTCCCCCCAAATAGCATCACTCTAACTTCTGCTGAGAGCACAAAGGAGAGCAACACCCATCACAGATGCTGCCAGCACTCAGCCCCGAGTGCTGGGGGACGCAGACGCCAGGCAGGACCGCGGCTGGACCTTGTGGATGGTTCTGTCTGTGAGGGGCGGTGGCCACCATGCCCACTCCTCAGACCTACCCACAGGTCGCCAATCTCCCGGATGTTGCTCCGATACCGCTGGCAGTCGTGCAGCACCTGCGGGGGGAGGAGAGGGGGAGAATGAAGAATCCAGAATGTGCAGGAGGGGCTCCAACAGGTTTATCCCATGCTAGCTGGCACACCCAGGGCGGGGAGGGGTGGGGTGGAGGGCAACAGGCTAGGTGGGCCAGCCCAGAGCTAAGGGAGACGAACAAGGCAGTCTCTCCTTTCAAAGGGACACTGCTCTTCCCCCCTGGGGTGCCAGCCTGCTCGGGTGGCAGCAGATGGAGGGCCCAGGCTCCCCAGGCCTCCTGCCGCGCTGGGAAGCACAGGGTGACTGGGACAGGAGACTGCCCCTCTCAGGAGTAGACAGCGGCTACTCACATTGGGATGCCCGTCTCGAAGCACCTTGTGGAGGACGTGGCAGAACTTCCAGCTGAGGATGGAGCTGCTGGGCAGGGGCAGCCCGATGGCATAGGACCAGAAGGTGAAGGCCCCCTTTTCGTGGTGAGTGCCCAGAATGATGCCTGCCAGGGTCAAGGCCAAGTGTGGGAAGTGGAGACTCAAGCGTGGCGAAGGTCAGGGGGGCATTCAGCAACCTCCACAGGGACTCACGGAGGAAAGCCGACCCCTCCCCCCACGGCCACTGCGCACCCTCCCTCATGTCCGCCACAGCTCACCAAGAGCTTTGGTTTTCAGCCAAGAGCAAGGTCACACCCCTCAAATGCAGCTGGACCCAATGGCTAAGGCAATAGATGGCATTCCCAAGATGCGGCTCAGAGTCTAAGTGGAGCTGAGTGAGGCGGGGGGCCCAGCTGGGTAAGGGCGGACCTCATAAAGCCCTCGTGGTCATCTGCGGCACCAGGCTGCTGCCCCCCACCAAAGCCACGGGCAGAGACTGCGCCAGCCGGGCCCAGGTCCTCCCCTTCACGGACCCAGCGGGACGAAGGGCCCACGGTGGGCAGGGAAGGATACGCCGGGCATGCTTCTCCTTTACGGGCGCCTCCTGGGTGTTGATGGCTTTGCTGATGCTGATGGCCTGAGCGGGAACAGAGGAGGCCGAGTTCAGAAACCCACCCGGCAGCCTCCCTCGGGAAAGACCACCCCAGGGAGGAAAAGGGCGACACGCAGGCAGGACTGCTTCTTCCTGCCGGTGAAAGGCGGGGGAAGACGTGAGGGGGAGCAGACATTCTGTCAACCTAAGCAAACCAAATCTCCGAAGACACCCAGTGCCACGAAGCCAACAAGAGCTTTCGGGGGTCTGGGAGTTAGGGATGAAAGGAGGCTTGTGGCTGCAGGAGACCAGCTCTGGTCTGCAACCTGCATGCGTTTAGCTCTTCCCTGGACCCCAGGGAAGTGGCCAGTCAGGGCGACACGCGGCGTCCTCTATCCCGTCTCTCCTCTGGGGGAAGCTGCCTTGACCTGAGCCCTCATGACATTTGTGAATAGACATGACCATGGCAGGGCCCAGAGAAATAACACAAGCTGACGAGGCCCACACAGCCACGACGTGGAAAACCGGGATAAAGCCAGGCCCCGTTGCCTGCCACGCAGGCAGCCTCTCTCTTGGGTGGGGGCAAATCCCGACTGAGTTCCCACCCTCACCAACACAGATGGCAACCGTGGCCCTGCGGGGGTGGCAGGAAGGGGGGTTTCGCTTGGCACACCTGCTGCTGTCACTTGGGCTCTGAGCAAGCAGTGAGCTCATCCTTGACAAAGGACCTCCCCCATGACCACCTGCTCGGGTCCTGTCTCGTCTCTCTTAGCTCAATGCCTCCTCTTTGGAGGTTTCCTGGCTATGACTTTTCCCTCACCAAAGGTTCAGGCACTTCCTGTCATCTCCTGCCGCCCTCACCCAGGAACTACCTCAGGCCCTGGGTTTACTTGTGGATGTTTTACTGCTCCACCTGGTGGTACCAGGGCCCTGACAAACGCAGACACCTCTCCAGGCCAGCTGCTTGTCCCAGGTCCCCGCAGTTCCTTGGCCAGGGCCCACACTGCCCTGCCCCCAGGCCGGCCAAGGAGCTGCACACTCACCCCGCACCCAGGACCTGAGCCCAGGTCACCACCCTGTCAACAGGAAGCGTGGCCCCAGGGGTCCTTGCATGAGTGGGGAGGAGACAGTGAAGAGGAAGCCCAGGGGACAGAGCTGGCACTTTCTTTTCATGGCAGCGGCCACTGTGCTCCCCACCTCTGGCATCTGAACAATAGTAACTGCCTCTGCCCGGCATGAAACTGACTTCACTCATTTGCGGTCAATTGTGACCCGACTTTGGGCCTGCTCAGAGATTTCCTCTGTAAGAAAAGCTGCCCCCTGGGAGCGAAGGCGGCCTTTCTGATCAGACCAGCAGACCTAGTAGCAGTGGGGCTGGGGGCTGGGCTGGGCAGCTTCTGGACCCACCCCAGCGAGGCAGGCTGACCTCCTTTCACACACAGCGGCCATTGTGGCCCGATTCACGGGGGTGCGGGCAGCACTGGGGCTGCGGCCACCCACACTGGGTCCCTCGCAGGCCGCGTTCCGGCATCCAGGGTGGGTGGGAGCAGCTCCTGCTCATGGTACGGGTACCGGTACCAGGGTCCTGAGAGGAACGCAGACAGGCTTTGGCTTCTGAGTCTCAAAGCCTCAGTGAGCCGCACACAGAGCGTTCCTTGGCCATCTGCGTGTTTGCCTGTCCTCCGGCACCGCCTCCCCGGGGCTCAGCGCCTGCCTCCATTCAGCACCACTAAGCAGCCGCTGTGAGAAGCTGTTCCCCAACTCTTGACTGCTCGCGCCCCGCGTGAGACTCACACCCCACCCAGGCAGAACCGTGTCCCCGACTGTAGCAATGATGACAGACACCCAGCTTCCTCCAGGCCAGGCACAGGCAACACGCCTCCCAGCAACAACCCTAGGAAGTGGTCACGGCCCCCTTTTCCTGATGGGAAAACTGAGGCACAGAGTGGTTAGGTATCATCGGTACAACTAACAAGGGCAAAGGCAGGTCTGGCTGACTCCAAGCTCTGTGTCCTTAATGGTTCTGCTGTTGGGCTCCCCAGGCGCCTCCTCCCTGGGCAGGTGCAGAGCTGAGAAGAGAGGGCCTCTGAGGGAGTGCAGGGGTGAGGGCGTGGGGGCCATGCTTCCCCCAGCAGCAAGCAGCTGAGCCGGGAGTGTCCTGTCTGGGTTGTGTAACCCCATCCCCCAGCTGCCCTGACACCCGAGCTGGCTCTTCTGACGACTGCCACCTGGTCCAGAAGATTCTGGGGGAGAGCAGAGCTCACGCTACACGTGCAGAGCAGGCTGCCCAGGGGGAGGCTGAGGACCAAAGGAGTGACTGCAGTTGGAGCAGCGCTGTCTCCTCACCGCCTCCCAAGCAGACCCCCGGAAGGGCCGTGTGGAAGCGCCTGTCCTCCTGGAGGCCTCCCCGTTTCTCTTCCAAAGCCTGCAGCTGGAGAGCAGAAACAGAGCTCCCCGCTAAAGGGCTGGGCTGGCCCTGGAGGGGAGGCGCGGGCTTCTGCTCGCCTTGTCACCTTCCTGCGACCGCCCTACTTAAATCTCCCTGATTTTCGCTTCGCCATGTACTTGGCAACAATGTTTCCCTTATTTGTCTATTATTCGTCTCTCCCGACCCTAATGTCAGCATGATGAGGGACTAGGGTCTACCCTATCTGGCTGCTGCTGTCCCCTCAGCCCCTAACGGTGCCTGGCACACAGACGATTTTCAAAAGCCTGGCCGTCTGTCAGATCATCCTCCACCCTCCCCCGGCTGCAGGAACAGGGTCCCTCCCAGCGGGAACACGGCCCCGTTGTGTGCAGGGGCAGATGTGCAGGGTGGGGAAACTCACAAGGAGGCTCAGTGCTCGCACAGAGGGAGTCTGTGGACACCTCACAGGGCCTCGCTTTTCCTACCAGGAGCAGCAGCCAAGCCCCATCCCAGAAGGGGACACCGGGCTCCGGGGATGCTTGTCGCCTCTCAAGCCCAGAGGTGCGGAGAGCATCCGGCTTCTCCTAAGCGCTGGGCGATGCTGAAACAGCTCAGCGTCTGGGATTGATAGTCTTGAGGGCGCTCTGTCAATAACACTTGATTCTGTCTACACAGCATCCTCACGCCAGCCTGAGGGGTGACTATGAGCAAACTGAAGGGTAAGGGGGAGCCCAGGACCAGCATGTGGGTTCTCTGGAGCCTGCTGGCCTGAAGAACAAACGCTTCCATCTTTCCTTCCGCCCTGGTACAGCCACCAACCAGAGCTACCCCAGCGAGCAGCTCTGACAACAGCACGCTTAATCCCTCCTGGCTGGCGGGATCAATTGCCATGGAGAGACGACCTTCTGGGAGACACGAGCTGATGGAATGGATTGATTAGGGCCCCCATGTTGGGCTGGAAAACCCAGTGCTGGAGAGAAGGGTCCTGGGTGGGAGGGGACTCAGGTGCCAACCGCCCTGGGCATTTGTCTGTTTCTCTGAGTCCCAGGGAAAAAGGGGAGCAGCTCCCACTCCACCTGTGAGTGGTGGGGAAAGGGGGGCAGGAAGTAGCTCTCTCCACTTCTGAACACAGGCAGGAAAGCAGGACAACAGCAGTAATGGCGGGTCAGGTGCTTTGGGGAGGGGGCTGGAGGGTCTGCAGAGACAGCAGTGGGCAGGCCGAGGGGACACTGCTAGAGACACTGCTCCTTCCTGCTGGAAAAGTCTCCCAAGTCCACAGCCCCAGAAGCACCTGGGAGCTGCACTTTGCTCCACCCAGTGCCCTTTGGTGAGGGGCCTGACCTTCTGAAGGGCAGTGATGGGGACAATGCTGGGGTGGCCACAGGCCAAGGGACGGGGAGGCTCCAACATGCCCTGGAGACACAGTCCGAGTGGCAAGCACCTCACAGCTTGTCAAAGGCGTGTTTCATGCCACAGGTCCTGAGAGCCTAATAACAGAGTGATTTTTATCAGCTCAGCCATGTGCCAGGCACGGTGCTGAGCTGTCAAAGGTATTATCTCATTTAATCTCCTAAGTAACCCTGGAAGCAGGCAGGTAAGGAAATAAAAGGAAATGGAGGCTTAAGGAAGTTAATCACTTGCCCAAGGTCATGATAAGGAAATGTTGACCCAGGATCTCCCACCCTTTACACATTTACCTGCCCTTGCACAATGCTCCCCCAGCACTTCTGACCAGGAAACTGCAGCACAGGCCACCTGGCTCTGGGGACTGTCCTCTCAGCCCCCACACGGTCCTGGCAGCCTCTCTGGGGGGGGGGGTGCAGGGGGAGCAGTGCGTCAGCACAGACATCCTTTTGTCCCACCACAGGGACCCAGCCCCCAGGCTCCGCTATGCTCACAGAGGAGCTGGCCACACTCCTCAGGGGAGTCCGGATGGGGAGTCGTTCAGGCCCCAGGTGGCAGCATCAGTGGGCCAAGGGCAACGGACCCTCCCGCTCAGCCCTGGCCTTCACCTCAGCTCCCTCCCAGGGCGGGTTCTGTCCTGCCGCCAGGGCGGGGGCATCCCGGAAGGCCTCTTACAAGGGCCCCATTGGGCCGAGGGAGCCGGAGCCATCAGGAACAATCTCATCCTTGTTTGTCTAATAAAAACCTATCCGGTGCCAGCAGAGGCCCCAGGAGTCAGGCCTGAGGAAACAGTCCCAGGACCGGGCTGGACAGGGACACCAGTGGCATTCATCCCTGGACACACCACTCGCAGGACACACCAGGGAGCATCTCGGTGGGTGCTAGTTCAGGAGACAGCCGGGCCAGGGCTAGAGCCACAGCACTGACCCCCCTTACCCCCAGAGGCTTGGCCCAGTGTGCACCAGGGACAGAAGCAGGGATTCGGGGCATGGGCGGAGTCAGAAAGCCAGGGACTAGGCAGGACACTCCAGTCAGCAGCGGCTCACAGCAACCTGGTCCTGGGCAAAGGGGGCCGCAGGAGGGGGAGGAGGGAGGGGTCAGTCGCTAAGGATGGAGCAAGAATGTGAGCATCTCATGGGGTCACATCTCCTCAGCCCACCTGAACCGACACTGCTGTGGAAACCCAGAGCCCTCAGCAAGGGGTCAGAGCTGAGTGGCCTGAGCCTGTAGCCCT